ATTTTGCAGAAACGGTAACCTTTGTGAAATATATATCTGTCAATTTCTTCATGAGTTTGGGGGCAGCGACCTCACTAGGATTTTGCAGAAGCGGTAACCTTATTATTATTATTATTATTATTATTATTATTATTATTATTATTATTATTATTATTATTATTATTATTATTATTATTACGAGTCTCGTGCGATGCACGATTTGATCAAATAAAATTTTCTAAATTTATTTAATTTTTTTATACCAAAATTAAAACAAAAATATTCCCAAAACAAATAAAACATCAAATAATAAAAAAAAAATAATAATAAAGCTCATAGAAAAATTGAATGATGAAAGATCAGAGTATCCAAGGAAGACAAATTAAATAATTATTCTTAAAGAGAATAGACCATTTTTCAGAATGTGATACTAATAATAATTTAATTGACCAGAATTTTAATAAAATAAAATAAAAATAACAAAACGATGACATCATTTATAGTTTTGGAAAGAAATTTTTTAATGACATGACATGTGTCAATTTTAAAATAGAATGATGTCAGCGGTTGCTACTTTAGTATTAGTTATAGTTATAGATTATTATTGTTGTTGTTGTTGTTGTTATTATTATAATTATTATTATTTACAAAAAAAGTAGTGCATACAGAGTAATAGTTTTCTTGTTGAATGCAAAAATAAAAGAAAAGCTTTAATAATTGTTTTCTCTTTTTTTTATTAAAAAAAAAAAGTAGTAAATTTCAAAAAGTTCATGAATATATAATGAAATCATCACTCAATTTTCAAGTAGAAGAGTGAAGTAGGAACACATATGGAACAAGACGTACTTGTTTCCAACTCTCTCAGAAATTGTGAAACTTGTTACGGGTTTATTATTCACTTGTAAAAGAGTTTGATTTACATAGTGGAAATTCAGAAAAGCCTATATCATATCTCTCTAATGTTTTACTTAGTATAAATTCCGCAAAAAGTTTATTATTTCACCTATACTAGCTACAATTCACCCCCCTCTTGTAGTAGCCATCTAGACTTTCATGTCGATTGTGAGGATCAAACCACCAAATAAAAATGGGTCACTTTCACTAATGTGTTGTGCCCATTTTTGGATGACAAAACCAATAGTTTGAAAAGTGTTTTTTATTAATTCATCAAATTGGTCTTGATGAACTATATAGAAGGAAGCCTAAGCAGTTAAAATTTGCTAGTAGGGAATGTCGGAACTTGTTGATTGAGAAATGGGGTACCTTGAAATTTGAAATGTGTTGAGAAGGGTTTTATCTTCTATGAACCCATTTATTGTGAGCAAAGATGACTCTTTAGCAAATCTGGTGAGACTGAGGTCTATGATGTTATCGAGTTATGACACCGCTATTCTCCCTTCCAAATGTTCCAAAGTAAGTTTATCAACTTTCATGAGTGTGTTTATAGACAAAATTAGGTTGTGAATGGTTGAAACAGAGTCAGACCTATTATAGGTAGAGGTGGGCAATGTGCCGTGCTGGGCCGTCGCAGGCCGTGCCTCACCGTGCCTGGTGGTGGCTCGTGCCGTGCCGTGCCTGCATCTTGGCGTGTCGGGCCACCATTTAGCAAACCTCAGCCCACGGCACAGCATAGCCTACGTGCCTGGCGTGCCGTGCAGTGTCGGACACCGGGCCGCCCATAATTTTTTTAATTTTTTTTAACAACTTTCAAAATGGATATACTATTTAAATAATTTTATTAATTTATGGTTATGTTTTTATTATTATTATTATTATATTATTATTATTATTATTATTCTTTTTATTATTCTTATTATTATTATAATAGTTCTTTATTATTATTTATGTTATTTTATGGCCGTGCCTAACGAGCCAAAGTATCGTGCCGCCAGCGGGTTCGTGTACACGGCATGGCCCACGGCCCAGCCCACTCCTCGGTCACTGTGCTGTGTCGTGCCGCTGGCGGGCTCGTGCCCGGCCGGGCCAATCTCGTTTTGGGCCCGTGCCACCCGCGAGCCAGCACGGCCCATGCTCACCTCTAATTGTAGATACTTTCAATTATTTCATCAAAAGCCAAAGTAAACATACTCCTAAGCTCGCCACAGTGTAAGAATGAATGATACCCAATATATATACTATCCAGTTATGTCATTTCATATAGAAATATGCTAAGTTTGAGCAATACATTGACTTTCCAAATTATATACTCTTTTATAATAATGCATCTTTTTATATGAGTCAATTTTGTGAGTTAATTATGTGGCTGATTTTCACCTAGACGGATGCATGGAGAGTGAATATATAGTGTCGGCTACCCATACCGCACAAAATTTTTGTACCACACTATCTACCCACTACCCATGTCGAGTATGAATTTAAATCCACATTTGCTTCATTCATACAAATGGATATCCATCCAGTATCCACTACCTGTCTATTACTTGTATATACCCGTCTATTATCCGCCTAATACCCAATTAAACCTACTTGAAACTATCTTCTTTTAAACAATATTCAATAACCGTGAAGACAAAGTAGAGATTAGATAGATGTGTGAATATGATAAATGGACGAGTGTATCTGTGTATGCAAGGTGATTTAGGAGGATATGAAAAGGGTACAATGACATATTAGTACATTATCATATATGCATGAACAAACTAAGCTTTTTTTTTAGTGTTACACTATAGAACAATTAACAATAATAGTCTCTTTGATCCATGGGGCTGGCCGCGGCTCGAGTAAGCCCTCCCTAACTCCCTTGGATCTGTCCATGGCTAGTATGATTTCAAATTCATCATCCATATACTACCCAAGACAGATATGACTATTAATATTCAAACCAGCCCACTACTCATCAAAGTCATACTGATATGGGTTACCCACTTCAATTAGGACTACAAATCTTGAAATTATACCCACCTACATAAAAACCTACCTACATCATACTCCGTATTTTATAATCAAAATCATCAACTAGTAATTAAAAAAAAAGGGAAATTCTACATTACAACCCTCTACTTTTGCGTTTTTTATGTTGTGTCCCATCTTTTTAAAAGTTACACATTGTAACCCTTAGGTCTAATTAGTAATTACACGGTAACCTTGCCGATATCCCACCGTTAACAAATTTCGTTAGGTTGTTTTAATCACAGTTAGTGGAGCCCACTCTCCACTAATTAATATATATATATATTATCAATTTATGCGATGGAAAATGTTCCATTAAAGGTTTTGGGGGCCGTTTTGGTCCTTATGGGGCCAAATTCAGCTCAATTTTTTTTAAAAAAATAACGTAAATGCCTTATTTTGCGTATTAAGAAACGTAAATGCAAAAAAATAACCCATAAGGGCCAAAACGGCCCCCAAAACCTTAATAAGAGCTCAATTTCCACGGCTAAAAAAAATAATAACACGCAAATCAAGACATTTTTTAATACGCAAAACGAGACACTTATGTTATTTGTTTTGCAAAATCTGAGCTCAAATTAGGCTCATAAGAGCCAAAACTGCCCCCAAAACCTTTAAAGGAACATTTTTTATCACGTAAATCGATAAAAAAAATATTATGGCTATTTCATGAAATGCCATTGAGCAATTGCGAAATTCACCAAATGCCATCCAACTTTTCAAAATTCACCAAATGCCACCGAGTTTTAAGAAAATTCACCAAGTGTCATTAATGACTAACGACTGTTAGTTGACCGTCAGTTGACCCACCACTTGCCACGTGTCACTTTCTGATTAGTCTTTTTTTTTAAAAAAAAATTTAAAATAAATAAATAAAAACTAAAAAAAATGTAAAAAAAAAATGTAAAAAAAAAAAAAAAAAAAAAAAAACCCTTGAAAGTTGAAACCACCCCAGCCACCACCCCGAAACCTTGCCCCTCCCCTTACCTTGCCTGAAAACGGCCAGCCTCCTTCTTAACCAGCAAAAATCGGCCGGCCGGTCCTTTAGCACCCCACCTGACCCACCGCCGACCCCTAAAACCACCTATCCAACCCACCTCGACCCTAAAACCACCAACTAATCTCTCGAAATCAAGTGCCCTTTCCTTCCTCTGCCGCAAAAAATCGGTCACTGGCGAATTTGTGGGTTTCGAAATCTAAGGTTTAACGTCCTCAGTGGGTCGCGACGGGAAAGAGGGGGAGAAGGGGATGGGGGTTGCTTCGGTGGTCACCACCATTATACCTAACCTGTCACTATCATCGCCCACCTTGCAACAACTTCAGCCGGTGACTGATTTTGGTTCAGGTGGGGGCAAGTGAGGGCGTATTCGGTTCACGTGGAGGCGAGTGAGGGCGTTTTCGGTTCAGGTAGGGGCGCGTTAGGTGGTTTCGATTCAGGTAGCTTGGAGGTTAGGGTTCCGGGTGGGTGTAGGGTTTCGGAGGTGGGGGTGGGGTGGTGGTTTCAATTTCTGGTGGAGTGATGGGGGTGGTGGTTTCAGATTAGTTGGCGGGGTTGGTGGAGGTAATGGTTTTGGTTGGGGTAATAAGGGTGGTGCTGTTGAGGTGATTTTTTTAATTTTTTTTTTGATTTTTGTTTAATTATTTTTTTTTTTAAAAATGGACCAATCAGAAGGTAACACGTGGCAAGTGTTGGGGTCAACTAACGGTCAAGTAACGACCGTTAGTCATTAATGGCACTCAGTGAATTTTGTTAAAACTCGGTGGCATTTGGTGAATTTTGAAAAGTTGGATGGCATTTGGTGAATTTCGCAATTACTCAGTGGCATTTCATGAAATAGCCAAAAATATTAATTAGTAGAGAGTGAGCTCCACTAACGGTGATTAAAACAACCTAACGGAATTTGTTAGCAGTGGGATAACGACAAGGTCACCGTATGGTTACTAATTAAACCTAAGGGTTACAATGTGTAACTTTTAAAAAGATGGGGCACCACGTAGAAAACGCAAAAATAGAGGGTTATAAGGTAGAATTTCCAAAAAAAAAAAAAAATAAAAAAAAAATTGAGGCCCTTGAAGGCAGAATAAAAAGCGAAGGGAAAAAACCTGTATGAGAATGTGGCGCTTGCGAGAGGAGGACAGGCAACGGAGAGGAGAATAGTAGTGGGCCTTCTCTTTATAAAACCCCAACAGAACATACACACACACTCAAACACTCACCCCTTAAAACCCTAACTCACTTCTTCTTTCTTCCGCTGCACAATCCATTTCCATTTTTCCCCTATTCCTGGTATTTTTCTCTCTCCTCATAAACCCTAATTTTTCTTTTCTCCATCCTCTTCTCTTTGCCCTAATTTTTCGATTTTCCATCTTTCGTTAATTCGCTCTGTATCAGATTATTCGTATAATCTATTAATTGATTGATTGATTGCAATAGTGTTGATTTTTTTTTTTTGAATTTATTTTTCATTGTTTCAGTTATTTTCAACCGAAAGCGATAAACATTTTGATTAGATTGTTGAAGAATCATGTCGGACGATGAGAGAGAGGAGAAGGAGCTGGATCTTAGCTATCCTGAAGTTGTCACCAAATACAAGAGCGCTGCTGACATTGTCAACAGTAATTTTCTTCATCCTATTTTTGTTTATTTTTATGATATATTTATTAAAGTTATTGATCATTTTCAATCTGAAATGTGAAATTAATTTTGTTCAATTTTTTGTTTTCGTAGGAGCTTTGCAGGTAGTTGTCGCAGAATGCAAGCCCAAAGCTAAAATTGTTGACCTATGTGAGAAAGGAGATAGTTTTATCCGAGAGTATGATTCTGAATCCATTTTTAGTACTTTTATACTATGAATCTTTTTCTCAAAAAATTTGACCTTTTTATTTGTTTATTTACTTAACTCCAATAATGGGTTGGGTTTAAATGTCTGAATTTGGGTTTTCTTTTTATTTTTTTTGGAAATTTTTGTTTGATTGAAAGTGTTATCCTTGGTTGCAATGTTGGTTTTTTTTGGTAGACTTTTATTGTCTGGGTTTTATTATGTTTTTAATGATATCTATATATTGTTGAGTGGCTATGCAATGTTTTGAATGGTGTTTGTTTATGATGTATAGGCAAACTGGTAACATGTACAAGAATGTGAAAAAGAAGATTGAACGAGGTGTTGCTTTTCCAACTTGCTTATCTGTCAACAATGTTGTTTGTCATTTTTCACCCCTTGCGAGTGATGACTCAGTGCTCGAAGAAGGTGATTTAGTGAAAATGTAAGGTTTTCAATGTGTAATTGTTCTTTCAATCAATGGTGTTTGAGTATAAACTTAACTAGTGTTTGTTGATTGAGTTCTGAGTTGGATAATTGTTTCGTTGCAGTGATATGGGTTGTCATATTGATGGCTTTATTGCTGTTGTTGCACACACTCATGTCATTCAAGAAGGCCCGGTAACCGGCAGACAAGCTGATGTTCTTGCAGCAACCAACACTGCTGCTGAAGTTGCTTTGAGGCTTGTGAGGCCTGGCAAGAAGGTATGATCTTTACCTTTGCTCATTCTGTTATTGTCAACTTCAGTAAAACACTAATGTCTTGCTGTTGACTCATTTTTTTTCATGACCTTGAGTCTATAATTTGTTTGGTTTTTTTATTGGTATTACCATAAAAATGTTGTCAATATTGTGGCTTTGTGTTCCTGTTAATTAATAATGCCTTGTATGTGAGGTTCTGAAGCCATGTTGATAACAAAGTAAGTGCAAGATAAGTTATATCAAATGAGATGAGCTAGCCGGGGACCTCATACCATATAAGTTTGCCTCGAAGTGTTTTGTTTATTATGGCTTGCATCAAAAAAATGTTTGCTATCTATTTAAATGCAATTAGAATTATGGGTTTGCCCTCTCTTCAGTCTGTTCCCTGTATGATGAAAACTTAAAGAAGCTATGGATCAAAATCCACATGATGCTTTTTTTGTCATAGTTACACTGACAGGAAGATCAAACCTCATTTGCTTGTCAGCAATGTGGCTCCCTCCCTTTTGACATGTTTTCTTTATTGAAGTGAATTATGCACAATTATTAAGACATATATTTCAATCAGCTGATTTGAGCCATTTATTTTAGTTTTTTAGCTCATACGAGTCAAAACAGCTCTTGAAAGTGATGTCATGTATCTTCATGATTATGATTGCTTTTTAGAAAAGGCAGCTTCACAGAGGTGGATTGATCTTGTTGATTCCCAATTGTGGCTGGTTTGTAATTTTTGCTTATGGAAGTTACTACTGTCCTGCTACTTATGATGAGACTGACAATTTCTGCATCTCCAGTCTCATGAGGGGCAGGCTCTAGTCTTGATCCTGTTGTGGAATAAGGGCAACATCGCCGAGGTGATCAACGTCTTGCATGCTGATCACCTGCTTTCATGTTGCCCATATTATGCTGCCAAATGTGAGGCTTTGGATCATATTGTGTTTGTATCTCTAGGCCTTGCTGTGGCTACACGTGTACAAGTGATTTTGTGCCTAAAATAGACTATATAGATGACTGCAACTTTGGATCATATTGCGCTTGTATCTCTAGTTGTAACCTCATCTGAGAACTTTCAACTTTGGAGCTCACCAGTCTTTACCCTTTTACTGTTTTCTATGAGTGAACTCCTGAGTTATTTTTCCAAAGATGGGGTGGAGCAACTTTGCCGAGGTTGTGATTCCCTTGTTGATAACCAGTTTCCTGTTGCCAATGGCTTCCTGTTTAATGCAAGGTGTCCTGAAACAGTTTACTTGTGCTGTTTTATTCTTCCTTGCCTTGGCTATATATCTATTCAAGTGACATCACTATTAATGTGCTTAATTTGGCTGAGTCCCCTAATGGCAATGTAACACTTTGAAGTTGAAATTTTCTGGACTTTAAATTTAAAGCTCAGATGTATTTTTGAGTCCTTGGAAATTTAATTAGTTTGTTACTGTTTTCCTCAATGTTCTTGAAATGATCTTTCTTTAAATTATTGCCTACCTCTTTTAAAATTTGATAAATTCCGCATTTGGTCTTAAATTTATTTCTTCTTTGGTGTCATCTTTTCCTCACTTTTACAAGTAATTCTTCTCATGTGATTGCTCTGCGTGATGATCATTGTTTTGGCTATTTGGATTTTGGTCCAATGAAGCTTAATATAGTCATAGTTACTCTGATGGAGCATCGTGTCATTTTTTATTATTCCTGCTGTTAATTTTATATTTTTATGGTATTTTAAGCCTACATATGTGAGCTTATGTTGGTGGGGTCTTATGGCAGCATAGGAGTGGTTCAATGTCTCTGTTTCTTGCAAAGTTATTTTCTTATGAAGAGGTTAGGAGCCACTTTGTATATATGCGGAAAGATTGTGCTATTGCTTAGTGCAAATTCAATCACCTTCGCATGCAGTAGTTTGTTTTGATGGCAACCAAGCTATGTTAATGTGTTTGCTCTATATGATGAAGAAAGCCTTTGCTAAATGGATTATTGTCCAATGAAGCTTAAATGTCATAGTTACACTGATAGAGCAACTGTCCTGCATTTTCACTTAGCTTGGTAGCCTTGACTATATAAATTGTCCTTCATAGGTGCCTAATTTGTAAATCAGAGTTTTAATTCTTTTTAAAACCCATGTATATCTGGGTTGAAATCATATTAAACTACATGCTTATAAAAATTGGAATGCATAATGTTTGTAGCTCTAAATTAATTTGGAAGTGTAGATTACAATAAAACGATTAATGTGGCATTTTGTCTATTCTTTTGCTCTGATCTGTTTGGTTCCTTTTAAAACTCGAGAATACCTTTTGTCAGTGGTGTTCTTACTACATTTTTTGGTTGCAACAGAATAAAGATGTAACAGAAGCAATCCAGAAAGTTGCCGCCGCGTATGACTGTAAAATTGTTGAAGGTGTTCTTAGTCACCAAATGAAGCAGTTTGTGATTGATGGAAACAAGGTGGTGTTGAGTGTATCAAATCCTGATATGAGAGTTGATGATGCTGAATTTGAAGAGAACGAAGTCTATTCTGTTGATATAGCTGCTAGTACGGGTGAGGGAAAGGTAATGATTTGAAAATTCTGTTCTGGAAGACTGAGTTTGGATCTTGAAAACTACTTTGGAAGGTTCTTCTTTCATTCTAATGGTTTATGTTTGTGATTGTAGCCTAGAATGTTGGATGAGAAGCAAACAACTATTTACAAAAGAGCCGTGGACAAGAACTATCATTTGAAAATGAAAGCATCAAGATTTATCTTAAGTGAAATCAATCAGAAATTCCCAATAATGCCATTCACAGCAAGGTCTGTGCTGATTCCCATTTTGATATCTGCTGTGCCAATGATTGGTCTAATCACTCTGATGTATAGTTGGTTGTATCTGATAGGGCATTGGAAGAGAAGAGGGCTCGCCTTGGACTAGTAGAATGTGTCAATCATGACCTCTTGCAACCCTACCCTGTCCTGTATGAGAAGCCTGGTAAGTTGACTCTTCTGGGTTTTGATTGCAGCTATCTGATGCTTCTTATCATTGGGCGCATTGTTGCTTGTAATTATGGTTTTTTTTTTTTTTTATGATATGTCTTGTACTTACTAGTAATATGTGTTGACTATGCAGGTGATTATGTTGCTCAGATAAAATTCACTGTTCTTCTCATGCCAAATGGATCAGACCGTATAACATCATATCCTTTGCAAGAATTGCAGCCAACTAAATCAATCGATGACCCTGAAATCAAAGCTTGGTTGGCATTGGGAACAAAGACAAAGAAGAAAGGTGGTGGTAAAAAGAAGAAAGGTAAGGAATGTGACTGGGGAAGGACAAAAGAATAAGGGCTGATGCTCTGGGAATATATAGCCAAAAAATTTCTGCTTAGGTCAGGCAAATTTTTATCGGGAGATCTAAAATACTCTGATTTTGTTATTATTATTTCAGCCAAGAAGGGTGAGAAATCTGGTGCTGAAGAGTCAGCTGACGCAGAGCCCATGGATGCAAATGGCGCAACTGCTGAAAATTGAAAAGACAAAAATGTTGGTTCAAATTTTGTTACTTGTTGATTCTCTTTTGTATTTGCTTGATGGGCAACTTAAACATGTTAGATGTTGATCAATATTTCATGTTGCCTCTCACCTGTGTAAAGTTCTGGGTTTGGGCCCACAAAATGAATTTTTCTTGATACACAGTGTTGGGGCTTTTTCTGGTTGACTTTGAGCTTATGTTTAGCATTCTATGTTGTTTCATTTTTCAGTTACATGGATTTGGAAGTTTTTATTCAGGAATGAGGTTAGCTATGGCATTGCTGTTGCATTGCCTTTGAATCAACTCATGGCTCTATTTCTGCTTGAACTTTGGAATGATTGGGGTGGGTTGTGATGGAAGTGATTTGGTCACAATTTCATTGTGATTGTATAGTTACTTTGTATACTTGCATTTTGCCAATTGAGGATTTCGCTACTAGACAAAGTTCGTACGCCATAGCTACTGTATGATTTAACACTTAACGCCTACAAATCTGCAAAAAGGCTGTGGGAAATGTACTGGAAAACACTTTTATACATCTGGTTTTCAGCACAATGAGTAGCTGAAGTACCTGTCTACCCGAATGTCAGGCCATTGATGTCCTTTTGCCTTTGTACTGCAAGCTTTTTTTTTTCTTGTGTGTTATTTAGAGGCATTTTAAAGGGAAGAAAGTTATTTACCTATTGATACATAATAGGGGCATAATGGTAACTTTGTACAACAAAAAGGTGATGGGATAAAATATTATCACTTTAATTTTCAGGTTTTAATTGTACCACTATAGTCATTTTAATACCATTACAACTACTATTATACCATTACACTCCAATGACATAATTTCACAACCTAGTGGTACATATATTAATTTCAAAAGTATACCATTGTAACAATCTTATTGTAATTTTAACTATTTACATTACTATTGTAATAACAATAATATATTTCACATCTTAGTGGTGCTAATGTTAATTTTAAAAATATTTACGAATTGTCATGTTATGTACTAACAAATACATAACATTCCTCCAATTCTACTTCCTCGTGTTGTTTGCGCAAGGAGAGGGGATATTGGTTGGTTCAACCCTTAGTTAGTGGAAGACGGAATGTGTGAAAGCTGCTGCATGAGCTCGATGGACCTATAAATGAAGACGAATGAAGATCAATCAGTGCACTGTTCAAGTCTATCTAGATATCCATGTTATATGAAATAATTCTCCAGAATTCCACCCAAAGCGGTAATTAGCAAATAAAATGGGTGGACTATGGTTGTAGGAACAACTCCGAGCAATTTAATCAGTACTGCTTACAAACACGCAAAAAGTTTGCTAGTGTAGCATTGAATCAACTTATAAACCACCTTTATGTTAGTATAGCAGACAAAATAATTTTTGTTTTTTACACACTTCTCATTTCATGCATTCAAATTGTAAAAATAGTAATGCATTACCTAATTAGTAAACCTCGTTTGACTTTGTGAATCTCATTGCATTGGAGCATATATGTCATTGGCCATTTACGATTTGCTTAGTCTTATATGTGTTGGAAAACACGACATAACAAAAAATATTTACACAAAATAGTATGCTAAACCTATGGAGAGAATAATCAAGAAATATTCTTAACCACCCCATAGTTATAGAGGGTGGAGGTTGGCCACCAAGACTAGAAACTCCAAAAATAATGATTAGGGAATGCCTTTAGGGAAAATGCTTTAAATCTGATATTGTGTATGGACATGGAGCTTCAAAGTTGAAACAAAGCGACCTTTTCCTGAAATAATGACTATTCCTTTTGACATGCTTGATGCGGTGTTGTTGGACAATGAATTGCACTATATTATCATAGTGAACGAAGAGAGCAGTGAAGCTCAATCCAGAGATTGCGATGCCTCTAAGACAACACACCTCAGAATTTTTCTTTTGCCCTTTATATAATGAAGTAACTTGGGGTTGGATAACCTAACTTATACGGAAATTAGGTTAATTATAACCAAAGAAATAACGATAAAACCTAATGTTGGATGGTGCATTTATGAAAATTCACCCCAATCAACATCACTTTAAGTGATCAACCATGTATGAATCAAAAGATAAAAAGTAACCAGGGCTGTCTCGAAAGTTTATGAGGCCCAGAGCGAAAGCTTAAAAAAGGCCCTAAACAACAAAGCTAGACATATTTCTTTCATATACTACATATAATTCACCAACAAAATATTTATCCCCTTATACTATTGTTGGATTATTAACTTCGATATTTTTTTTACATTATTAATTTTTGAGTCACCGCATTGAAATTTGGTAAGGTGCAACAAAATTTGAGATGGAATAAAGAGAAAAGGAAAAGATTAAAATTATTGGCATGTTTATGAGTATAATTAGAAAGAAAAATAGGAAAGAATTATAGATGAATACTTCTTAATTTCTTATATTTTCTATTTAATTAATTAATTTTATTTTATTTTAAAAATAAATTATAGAGGGGGCCACAAAAGGGGCCCTGATCGATCGCTCAAGTTGCTCCCCCTTATAGCCGGCTCTGCAAGTAGCCCATAAATCAATGGTGCCTTGAATACAACACATGTAATTTTAAAACAACATGATTGGTCTGAAGGTTTTATGTCTTCGTCAAGTGCTAAAACTAGATATATAAATGGATCAAATTATGGAGATAATTAAGTTTGTTACTTTGGGTCGTCGTTATATCATAGCTAGAGGTACTAACGATCTTTGGGCTAGTAAAATAGGTCAAAGCCCAATTGAATGGATCCTATAAAGTCACACAAAGGGGCTAGATTGAACATAAGAGGATGAGGCCCATGATGGGCTTTCTCCCTCTAGGTGGCTGGCCATATAGAGTGTTTTAGTGGGTTTGGGTTTTCTAACCTAGTCTAGATATAATATGATTATAAATAGACTAGGTGCCTAGGGTTTGCAATATACAGTCAATCAGTTGATCAAACCCTAATTAGCAAACACAAACCAACCCCTCTAAAACTATATCTCTCATGTTCGTCTCTCTCCTCGTTGCACTGGTGGTGTGCACGGTGGTGGTGTCTCGTGGTGGTCTGGTTATCCGCAAAGGTGGTGACTGTGGTGTTTCCTCAATCATCCGACCAATATAGCATTGGTGGACGTTCGTTCGAATCATACGGACTAAGTAGAGGAGCAACGTTTGAGGCTCTCTTATCTCCCTAATTGATAGTTGATGAGTGACATTTATGTCACTTAAGTCCCCTCTCCTTTTCCTATTTTTGGGATCATTTGAGCTCTAAAACTCATATTTTTCACCTTTTCTCCCCTCCTTTCTCCTCCTTGCTTCTAAATCACTAATTTCATGGTTTTTCCGTGCTCTTATGCTATTTTGTTGTGTCACTTGTGTGCCTCTTGCCTTTGTTGTGTAGGAATGAAGAGAAGCAGCACTTATGAGGTGATTAGATCAAGAGTATTGGCATGCTTGAGGTGCCATTCTGAGGAGTACAACCTTGCTTCAAAACTGCTATTTGGGTGAAGCAAATGCGCGGAAGCCTTTGTTTATATGAGCGCGAACGCGCATAGTGTTGGAAAGCCTCAGAATTGCACCTCAAGCGTGCCAATACTCCTCTAATCACCTCATAAGTGCTGCGTCTCTTTATTCCTACATAACAAAGGCAAGAGGCACACAACAAAATAGCACAAGAGCACCGAAAAACCATGAGAGCAGTGATTTAGAAGTAGCAAGGTGATAGGCCATTGTCGAGCCTACTAAAGATAATCCTATCTTGGTCTTACTAATAACTAATAGCAAGGGTAAGAAAAGGTCGAACCCAAGAGAGGCGTTGAATCATCCACCGAAATACTATCGTTTAAATAAGCTAAATCAAGACAAATTTGGGTTAGTTTTAAGTAACTTCTACTAGTTGAATTTAACTATGGCTAAGAGGAAATTAACAATATTAAGAGGAAACTAGGGCTCGGGTTACACCACTTAACTTCATTACAAATCACATTTAGCATGCAACAATTAAGGTAAATTAGGGGATAAAATAGGGGAAGTCACCTAAGGCACCCAAATACTTTCTCAAGCTAGAGGGATTGCTTGAATCATGAATATAACCTACTCTTGTGGTTGCAAAGCATAAAACAAGTGTTAAAGCATTATCACGATGACATAAACATTCCCTTGACTGGAAATTCCTATTCTAATGGCATTTCTAGTCAATCAAGCATAAGGGAGCTAACTCAAATTCATCTCTCGATCCTTCGTTGAGAAAGCTTGGATAAATAGTCCTAACATTGGCTAAATGCAAGAACTAACAAGGAAACCACTTAAGCTCAACTAACTAACACCCCACAATCACCAAATTATTACATGCAACAAGTTATTAGTGACTACATTGAGGGTTTTACCCAAACCCTAGAAATTAGACTATTCACAATCCATGGAAATTAAAGCAATTAAGGATTTCAAGCATTCATGAACAAGTTTCAGCTAAGAATTAAACTAATTAACAATCTAAGTATACAAGAATTAAGCAAGTAATTGACAGGATAATGTTGTATCACCTAATCAAAAGTAATTCCTAAAACCACTAACTAAAATAGATAGGGAAGTAGGGTCGAATCCACAGGGAAACAACGTTTTCTATTCCTAATTATTATAATTATTATAATCTAAATTATCAAGAAACAAATAAGGTTTGTATGAATTAATCTAAGGGAATAACCAATAATAAAAAGCCTAAGGTCACAGGTTCACCATTAATTAATACTCCGGGATAAAATATAACAATCAATTATTAATATTTCAAACATAACATGATTAACAAGCTCTCGCAATTTATTAATCAACATAGTTTTAACAGGCTCTCGCAATTTACTAGATCTAAGTTCCTATTGAAAATAACCTTTAATATCAAATTAACATCTGCTCGATTCATCAATTCAATATTGCTATAATTTTACAATCAAATCACATCTTCTCGATTCATAATCTAATTGTAAAGAATTAAAACAATCCAATAAGAAATTATTATGCAATATCAATAATCAACCAAAACAATTCATCCCTTCATATTAATTATGGATCCCCCTAGAACCCTAGAAATTAACTACTCACACATATTTAAATCTAAACTAATCAAAGCATATAAAGAAAACATGATTGAAATCAAAGCACATATTAACAAAGCAATAAATAAAGTGATAAAAGAGACGAGAAATAATACCGAATGAAGGAAATATGAAATTTCACTAAAAAGGGGAAAACTTGAGTTTAACAATAATCTCTTACTAAAATCTCTCTAAAAGCTTAAGAACGGAAATTGT